GTGTGTGTGTGTGTGTGTGTGTGTGTGTGTGTGGAGGGGGAGGGGGAGGGGGAAGGGGTGAGGGGTAGTGTGTACGTATGGTTGATAAACCTTGCGATGAGACTCACCTTCACTCCACCAGGTCGAAGGGGAAACAACAGACAAAACGAAGCACGCACAATAAACGAGGCAAAACAGTAAGAAAAACAAGAAAATCAACGACATTTTCACAAACAAAAAAAAAAAATTAAACGCTACTTGCCCTCCCGTTCCTTCTTTCTTTCTTCCAGCTCTGTCGTCCGTAGATCTGCATCAGACGCGTGTTGGGGGAAATTTCGCGGCAATTTCAGTGTTGCAGCAGTCTACGAAACATCTCGCCGGAAGTCGATCACTGCCGCTAAAGTCCGCCAAATCAAAGTCGCCACGCTCAAACATTACCTTCGCGCGTGTCGACTTGTCTCCGCGGGAGAGACGCAATTCGATGTTCGCAAACCGAAAGGAACAGTCCTCAAAACGCACGTTCCCCGAGCACCGCAGCTCCTTCAGGACACATCCGTCAAAGCAGCAGCGGACAAACACGCAGTCGTGGAAGATGGCGCCGTAAAAGAGGCTGCGGGAGAAATCCACCTCCGTTGCGTAGACAGAGAGAAACGACACGGTAGAAAAGTCACACTGACTCATGCATTTATGTTCCATTCGAATCCCGCAAAGCGTGCCATCTGGAAAAAGCGCCTTCACGTCACTACCGGCTAGTATCAGTTCAGAGGCTGCGCGATTCATGACGGACGTGTCGCTCGACATGAAGGCACGCACCGCAGTTGCCAACGCTGTTGCAGCACCACCCCCATCACGGCAGAGGGAAAGATCTTCCATGGCATGAGAGAATGACGGCAGCGACGACTGAGTCTCGCACACTGTGCTGCCTGTTTGTAGTCCTTCTTCGTTCAGCTGCTCGTTCCCTCTTGAAGTCAACAACGGCAGTGGTGGGTCAAGCACGACCTCCATGCAGGCCTCGGCTGAGAGCTGTGGTTCCCCTGCCTCCTCCTCAGCACCTGTGGCAGGCACCGCACAGTCACTGATGTCTGGGAGGCTCAGCGAGAGGGCGGCCGCCTCATCTGCAAACAAAGCCTCTGAGAGCTGCGAGAAGAGTTGCGCCTCCTCCTCCGCGGGTCGCAATGCGGAGAGTGTGCCTATGCCGGTGGTGCTGTGCAGCCGGTGATGAGAATTCATGACGCGTCGCCCACAGGCGGCAACAGACGCCGCCCACGTAACGTTCCAACATCCCCACCACCGCATTTTCCCTCACGACTGATGTTATTGTTGCCACCGACCCCCTCCCGCCCTCGCCAGTACAGCGGTCAGCACACCCGCGTAGCCCCCAGCCCCTTCCCCTCACCACCCCCCACAAAAAAAAAAAAAGAGTACGCAGGGAAGTTGGAAACAAAAAGGAAAGAGTGGAGTAGTGGCAATGCAAGAAAACAAAGAGGCAGAAAAAAACAAAAAACATGGGAAAAATGTTGTGAGCTTGTTTGCCGAACCCTACGGCGTTGTCGAATAATGTACTTGAAAGGTTCAGTGAAAAAAATGCGTAAATCACCAATTGCTGTGGGCGCTTGGCGCTTTGGTCTCTTTCTTTCTTTTTTTTTTGTTTTGTTTTCGTCAAAGGCAGCACAAGGAGCAAAGCCAAATGTGCCTACGGGTGTGTCGTGGGGGGGGGGGGGGGGGGGGAGGCCATAAACGTCAATTTGCGCGTGGGTGTGCAGGGGGCGGCATCACGTGCACTGTTATGGGTGTCCACATCAATAGCCACAACTTCAAGCAAAATACAGAAGCCAACCAACGGGTGCAGCAGCATCGGCTTCCAGCGCGGCACGATGACTTACATGGGCGGCGCAGCACCCCACCCAAACACGCATCGCATCAGCCCCAAATGTCGACCATGCGATGAGGCAAAGGCACTCACTTTCAACGCCTCACACCCCCCACCCGAATTTACGTTGAGCTCCCGCGTCACGAACTCCTCGCCGGGTGACAAGACACGCAACGATCGAGATACAATACAAAAGAGCAAACCAGAACAACTAAAGCGAAAGGAAACCCCCAGCCGCACGCAACAAAAGGAAGGGATAAGAAAAACGGAAACAAAAACAAAAACAAAAGGCTCGAGCATGAACAAACAGACAAAAACCTGTTTTTCTCAACGACAAAACGCAGCATTGGCAACTGAATGATTGCAACAGCGAAAGTTCGAATATAGAAGCATTCATAAAGCCAAATACGTGAACACGCATAGAGTACAATGGTGTAAGTCCACACAAGGAAAAGGAAAAAAAAAAGGTGAGAGTCCCCGCCATCATCCTCCTTTATCACTGCTTGGTGCCACGCTCCCCATCGCTGGTGCGCCACCATCAAAGCAAAGCAAGAGAGGATGGGGGGAGAGAGAAAGAAAAAAAAAAAACTCAGGTACACACAAACAGCATTTTCCCTCTTAATATGTGTTGCCTTCGCTGCTTTCCAAAGGCTAAAAAAATAAGGGAAAAGCGAAGTGTTCCCTTCTCTTCCATCTTCCCTGCTAGTTTTGTTAATACATAAAGGTTGAGGGTGCGCTTGCGCGTTTCCATCATTTGACAGAATAACCATCAGGCCCACCCCACAATAAAGACGAAGGGAATGCGGAATACATGACACGCTCCCAACCACCGCTGCAGCCCGGCACACACACACACACAC